TCCGCCCTACTTTTAAAACTACTTTTTTCGTTTTGTTTTGTTTTTGTTGGGTTCATAATTGGTGCTTGGATTGGATTGCATGCATGCATGGCTTAATATTCACAAAATGCAGTCAAATCAGCTTGACACGAGTCATGATGATATGCCTCCCAAGAAAGAGTATATTTTTGTTGCCTCTTTAACAAAGTTGATTGTGGAGCATGGCTTTTTAGGCCCTGTGGAAGATGCACAATCTGAAAGTGGCAAGGCCCCCACTCAACAACGACGCACCATTTATATAAAGTATGAACAGTGTGTGGCAACTTCAATAATTTGAGCACAAGAAACAGGCTAGGCTTCTTTCTAGGTGCAGTGCCACCTGCCTGCCTTAGTCAAAAACCAAAGTTTTGTGAAAATCTAAACACAGACATCTGCTTGCAATTTGCAGAGCCGTTAATTCAAGTGAGTCTCGGGATACAGAAAATCTGTCAGGTCGGTGATCAGGTCACGTAAGTGTTGTAGAATGGACTAGAATAGCAGGCCTCATCCACCTGATCATCTTTTTCCTTGGGCAGAAATTATCAATTTACCTTATCCATGACAAAGACCCTTCTCCTCCCCGAGAGGGACACGTGTGATCATCATAATATGCCTCATCCTCGAACAACCTATATTAAATTCCACCATGCCATGGAATTGAATTCCGACAAACTATATTAAAAACTACGATGTCTCCGTCAATTTTCCGATCTGGGTATCTTTTTCATTGGAAATTAGGTCCTTGAATCTCCTAAATATTTGCTGGATCTAATCAGTCCGTTGGAAAATTTGTCAACAGTATGACAATAAGTTGAAAATAAACAAAGACAGAATCAAATCTATGGAGATCATAATTCATAAACAACTACGTGGTCCATTTAGCAACATTACAAAAAAGGCACAGAGTACAGAAACAAGATATCTATGAACTGAAAGTAGATACACCAAAACTATAAAGAATTTTATTTACATGTTCCGGAGGTTCAACAAGATAAGATTAATAGACGCATTAGCAATAGTAATGAACTTGTCAAACAGAGCAGGAGGGGGATTTGCCTGGATGCTGCTACAGAGGATTTGGAGGGTGCGTTCCTCGCCGTGGCAGGTGCAACGGCATGAGTGTTAGGGATGCTCTGTTGCTCACTGGTTGGCAGTTGGCTTGTTGACCCGTTATTTGACGGTGTGTGATTAACTCTTTTACCATTACCGTTATCTTCACCTGCAGAATCAAAGAGTGACGACAATGTTAATGCAGGTCATTCAAGAGGGGGTTTGATCACAGTTGATATTAAGAACCTTGGTGGAAATTCTTCTAGCATCAACTGATTAAAAACACACCATATAGACAAGACTTCCCCATTATCGTTGCACAGGTTAGAGGGAGCAAAAGACTTGATTGGTAGCGCTAGGTTTAATGTCTTAAAGAAGGTAATCTAAACATGAAAGCCCCAATCCAAGGGTTGATTTCAAATAATAATGGAGCGCAAATGCTTCAATCAGAGGTTATATGGAAATCACGTTAACATAATGAAGCGAAATCAGATTGGTGGACCATATTAGATAACAGAAATGTAAATAGCATCTGACCACTGACAGGTTTTGAACAGAAAATGAGGGAAAATCCTGCCTAAACTTGAACAGACATGTCAATTTTCATGAGCAGCTTAACACATAATATTAAGCTGTTCCACAATTTGAGGATCATCCACAGAATTCTGTCAATTTGCTACTTTAGATTAAGTTAAATACTGTGTATTATCATATCCAAAGAGTTATTTAAATGAATCTGCAGATTCTGCATGTTGAAAACAGCAGTTGATGTGGATGAGAAGCGAAGTGTGTAGATTAAGGAATTAAAACTTCCAGTGAGCAGAGCAGTAAACTTTATGTACTTACAATTGGCATTGGACCAACCCAGCTTCAGATTTTCCCTGTCAAAAACCATGCGGTAACCCACCATGAAGTTCTCTGCGACATAAATGTAATTCAGGTCATCAAAATATAATGCGTGTATCAGAGAAAGAGAGAGAGAGAGAGAAGAGTGGTTCCAGTATACAGGAACAGGCATAGAGATCTACTCACGTCCAATGACACCATAGTCATCATCTGTCCGCAGTAAAGTTAAACAGAATATTGTGTATTTCTGCACCAAAAATTCCAATATATTTATTATAAGCACATCCTAGATTATAAGCGATCTTTGCACAGAATAAAGCCTAGAAAACAAAATTTACAAAACCTGACCAGTTCTTATCGAAACCAAGTTCTACATATTAACATTTAGTATTTGTCATCAACTGAACGAAATGCCTTGAAAATTTTATGGGCTCAAGTAGAATTACTTGCCTGATTGAGAGACTCGGAAAATACTGGCTTATGGACTAGAAAGCTTTGGTTCAAAGGGAACATGAGTTTGATGGTAGGAATGCTAAGCAACTCCCATGAACTTTGCATCACAAGAAAACAACAGGCATTCAGTTTGGTAGGATTGGAAACAAAGCTTTAAGAATTTCTCCTTGGGTAAAATATGTACCTGACATTGTAGCAGTACTTCCAAGAGGACTGTTGGAGGTTAATTCTAGTAGCATTCACTTGTTTGTCAAACTGTAATCATCAAACATTCATTTTTTAGGCCACTGAATAATAAAGCTTATATTTATAAAATTGAAAAATAATTAAACAGCACCTCAAATACAACTTTTTTATAAACTTCAGTTGGAACATATGTAAAAGATGAGCCACTGTCGACCAGAGCTTGGAATCCAGTTTGCTTGATACAGGAACTCCCAACACAAAAGCGCTCTATTCCAACAGAATAAGTAACACTGAAACAATTACAGAAAAATTATTTATAAAAGAAAAGTACCAACGAAGCTAGAGCAGCTCTAGGGTTACTTAGCTCATACAACCAACAGCAATTGAAGGTTCACATACTATTTTCCCGCTGTAGGCAAGAAAGGAGTAGAGTGTTGGGCAATATTCCCTTGGTCACCAAAGAGAATTCTCCCGGAACCATTGTCATCAAAACAAAGTGAAAATGAATTCTGAATCATTCCTGC